CCACTGAGGCAGTTTTATTACCTATTTCTGTCAAGTCCTGTCTGCATTCCTGTATTCAAATCCTTTACTCTAGCCAGGCACACCGACTTTTCTGCTTTCACATTCACACCTAACCTGGTCAACCCCGAGCTGGCCTCAGCCCTATAAAGGAAGGATGGAGGGTAGGCCAGAAGCTGCCGTAGAGTTAGTCTTCGCTGTGATGTGCTGTTCTCGTGTCCCATCTGACCTGTCCCTTGGAGTCCTGTGAGTCTCCAGGTTCCCCATTACCAGATTTCTCCCTTACTGTTCAGCCTCTTCTTTAGCCTCAGTACAAACACACAGGGTGCACGTGCCACATTCACGTCATGTATAGTGACAGTTTCGTGGAGACTTTGGAGCCATCTGCTTAGTTAAAATCCTCGCTCTGTCCATTCACTAGCTGTACAACTTTGAGCCAATTACTCAACCTTGTGCCTCAGTTCATTTGCACATACTAAGTGCTGTATAAATGTTTGTGATCATGAAGTTACTGCTGTTTTTATTTGACCTTATGTATCTTATTTAATTATTGAAGCTGCTGCTCTGCTTTAAGTGTGTGTTTCTTTCAGATCATCTGTCAGGTTGCCTCTGTACTGGAGCATATTGTATGGCTCTCCAGACTGTAATTTCTCACCCTGATTTAGTGTCCTAGTTGTCTAAGAAAACAGATTTTACTGAGGACTCTGGAGAAACCATACTTTCCCCTTCTGTACTTAAAGTTCTTAAGGTTTGAGATTATGACCCAGGTTGGGTTCTCTAGAAGCAGACACTGAGACAGAGTGTGTATAGTGATTGGGTTCGGATATTGTGGGATGTTGTTTGGAGAAGGACACCTGCAGAAGGGAGTGGAAGAAGGTGGACTGGATATAGGGAGAAGGAGAACTGCGATGCAGGCTCACAGAGCCTCAGCCAACCCTCCAGGCTGCTGCGGAATGCATGTGGCCTGTTGGAGAGATCAGTTCAGAATTTCCTGGCTTTTACATTCCTACATGGATCAGTAATTGGATATGGGCCACTTCGGGAAGGATTGGCCCTTGGGCAAGGCTAATCCTGAAGGAGCTGGCAGCTGGAGGCTCTCTGCTACTTGAAGAGAGATCTGGATGCGTCAAGTCCGTGTCCTCCACAGGTTAAGCCTTCCCAGGAGGGCGCACCACAACATCTCTTTGTAAAGACTTCACAGTTTGGCCAAGTGCCTTTTACAGGGATGGGTCCGGGAAGTAAACGAGGTTGCTCCAAGGGATAACGCTGAAGGAAGGAAAGGTGGCAAGGAAGATGGAAACAAAAGAATGGAGCAGAGGTTTAGTTACTGTAGGAAGTGAGGCTCCACAGGAAATAGAAGAAGCCACGCAGAATCTACACGGGAGGGGCCGCTGGAAGCAATTTGGAGGGTGTTAGGGGATTTGTGTAGAAACACACTGTTTCCACTTAGATGAGGCTTTGGGAAGTTGCGAAAAGAAACTGTGGTGGGTTTAGGGTGATCAACCCTCTTGGTTAGCCCAGATGGAGGGGTTTTGCAGGATGCTTGACCTTTAGTGTTAAACCTGGGTCCTAAGTGGATTGATAGAAAATCTTTTCCAGGCTACTTCATGGAATCACAACTGAAGCCGTGGAATAATGGACAGGTAGAGTGTCGGGAAAACATGGGCAGATGTTTTTTCATCTAGTTAAGAGTGACAGGGAACAGAGACATTATTGATGGTTCCTGCAGTGCTTCACATGTGCTCGGCAGCTAATAAATATAGATCACAAGGAAACTGAACATGAGGGCAATGAATCAGAAAAGAAAATTATTTGGAACAAACTGCTAAGGATTGGGAAAGAATGGCAAAATAGGCAATAAATCTAAGACACAAACCAGAGCTAAATGCCATAATGCACCTAGATACTTACAGGGCCATAGAGGTCAAGCCAGGTCCTGAGCCAAAGTCTTCAGCCAGATTTGGGTGATCCTGTACCTCTGTGCATTACAGAACAACCCTGGGAGTCTTCTCTCTACAAGTGACCTCAACTCATTGATTCTAGAGCATCTGCTACTTCTTTCTTTCTTTCTCTCTCACCAGGAGGGTGATATGTGTTTCAAAGTTAGTGAGAAGCCCACTTCCACCCAAACTTGACCTCCGGTATATCCAACACTCCTCCCTCCTAGAATGAATGAGTCTCCTCTTCTGGGATTGGGCATAATTTAGTGCTGATGTGGAAGTTTGGCACGGAGGGTGGGGAGGTTACTTGCTTCAGGAAGTACATTTCTAAGGGTTGCTTAATCCAAGTCCAAGGCCCAAAGGGTTTGGTGGGAACTGATCTTGTCTCTACATTGAAATGAGAGCTAAATCTTCTTACTTTGTTTCCAAAATATGGAATAGGTTACAGGAAAGGCTCTGACAAGCTGAGATGTTCGCTAACTGTAACCTTTGGACTTTCTGACCTCATGTAAACCATAGTTTACACTCAGTCAACAATTAAATTTCCATTGATGAACTGGGCTTCCCACTAATAACTAAGTTCTTTGTACCAAAGAGGTTGGTGCCTTGGGCTCCATTAGCTGCACTTGATTGTCAGGTTGCCTTAACTTTTCTAACACACAATCTCGGCCACTATCTCTCACCCTTAGACTAATAGCCTCTATATTTTGACTTATTTTTATCAAAACAGGGTTGAAAATATCTTTTTCAACGGATGTTTCCATCACATCTCCTAATCAGTAGACCCTCAGAGAAGGTTCTATGAGTATTCGTAGCTGCTCAGATTCCAAAATATGGGTGGAGCCTGGCATACAAGAGGTGCTCAATGAGGATTTGTTGTATGAACAGTAAACTGTTCCCTATAATGTTTGGTGAGTGACTCTGAAGGAGAAAATTCAATAATAAACTAAAAGATAAATAATTATTTAAAACATTAATGCATTGGCATAGCCCTCAAGTTCACATGAGACTTGTTATTATACATGATACACGATACTATAATATATTATTTTCTCTGGACTCCCAAAATGTTTTTCACCATTACTAAGTGATGCTGATTGCATCTTGGAGGAGCAGGCAGGTATGATAATCTGTGTCTGACATATGGCTTGGAAGAGGGTTAGCTGAAGAAGGAAAAGAAAGAAGGAGAAAAAGAAGAAAGGCAGCCAAGTTTCCTTATCCGAGGCCCTGATGCGTCCCCACGCCGCCACCACCCATTCAAGTCTGTGACTGGCGGCCCAAGTTGGATAAAATCTACCTGCTTACCCTTACCTTTTAGGCCTCCTGTGACTTTAAGTCTCCTTCCACAATTGGAATAAAACCCTGTTTATTCAAACAGCTTGCACCTGCCTAGCACCACGCTGGTACAGAGGGAACTACTGAATTATAGAATATGGTCTCTGCGTCAAGATGATACCAACCTGGCTGGGAGGTAAGAGTTGCCTACCAAAAGCAGATGTGAACACACAAGTCTTTGCTGTGTATAATTAAGGGCTAAATTGCGTGGTGCACAAGGTTTGGGTCAAAAGAGCTCAGAGGGCAGGATCGATAAGGGATGGAGCAGACAAGGAAAGAATGTCATTTAGTCCAATTCATCTGGTCCTGCCTAAATATGTATGTCCTTTCTCTGCTCCTTTGGGCAGGTGGGAGTGGGGGAGAGCTGGCAGGATGGGCTGTAGGACCTCACCCAAGGATACCACCCTCTGAATTGGTTTACGTAGCCAAATTCTACCTAAGATTTCATTTTGAAAGTATACTATTGCTAAAATAACATTCCAAACCCTCTTTATTATACTAACCACACCCTTTTTCTTATAAAACAAGGAATTCATCATTTTAATACTTATTCAGAAGGTATTAGCCACATCATTAAGCCATTTCTTTTTGTTTTTTTGAGGAAGATTAGCCCTGAGCTAACTACTGCCAATCCCCCTCTTTTTGCTGAGGAAGACTGGCCCTGAGCTAACATCCATGCCCATGTTCCTCTACTTTATATGTGGGATGCCTACCACAGCATGGCTTGCCAACCGGTGCCATGTCCACACCCGGGATCTGCACCGGCAAACCCCGGGCCGCCGAGAGGGAGAACGTGCGAAGGTAACCGCTGCGCCACCGGGCCGGCCTCCATTAAGCCATTTCTAACCTAACAATAGCATCTTATGAACTTGACCAATAAGACTCACGTTATTACAATCAGTCAAAATCATAAATAACTAATAAATTCAACGGTTATTCTCCTTTCTGAATAGGAAGGCTATACTTTAATTTCCCCACCAGCAGATTTTTAGGATTTATTTAGGATATAAAATTTAAAATAGCAGTGACAGTAGAGCTGAGGGACTTTATTATCTCCAAAGGTCTAATAGCCCAGAGTTGGGTCCCCCAGGCTTTCTGACTCCTCAGGGAAGATTCTGAGACTGTGGTTCCTGGGCAAAGGACCATTTCTCCACACCACAGTGAGCTTTGTCTGTGAATACAAGGAAAGAATAGGCACACCTTTTCCTAGAAGAAAGGCTATATATGCATCATCCATACTTGGAGGGTGAAGGCTTTCCCCTCTGTTGGCAAGGGTGAGAGGCCAGTCCTGGACCTGGAAAAGCCCACTGGGGCAAGGCCCAGCCTGCTGCATCCCGGGGAGCTTCTGCCCTGGGTTCCCTCAGGTGCTCTTTGCATCTGAGCTGGCAGCTCTCCCTGCTCTGCCCCTCCGCCCCCGCCTCTCCATTTCTGCCACTTCTGTTGACTTCCCAGGGCTGTGTGGCTGGGGACAGATGCTGGGGAGGGCTGCCTCACTCTATCTTATCTGTAAGGACGTGTTTTCTAAAGAACCTTGAAGAACGAATATTTGCCACAAACATAAGGTGTTTCTGGAGCTTAAATTATCAGGCAATCAGAGAAAAGAAATCATATTGTGTGTGTGGGTGTGTGTGTGTGTGTGTGTGCGTGCATGCGCGCGTGCGCGTGTGATTCCAAAGGAGAAAAAAGAGGAAAGAAGAAAAGGCATACCCCACCTCCAGCCCACCCCTCTGACAGACCCCTGACCTGCCTTGCCTACCAGCATCTCCACTTTTGTTTTTAACTTAAGAAGCGTTGTCAGCATGAAAAGAGGAACAGTGGGGCCACCTGAGTGCTCCCAAGTCAGCCCAGGGCTCTGCTGGCCTCTTGGGCAAATGCAGGCAGAGGTTCCAGAGCCTGGGAGTCCGTCCCCTCCGGATTGGCCTCCTCCTCCCTGGGGTGCCACCGCCCTGGGATGTCCTAGCCTGTTATCAGCCTTTCCTCATCCCATCCCAGGGCTGTTGTCAGCCACTAGCATGAGGCCGCGGGGACAGGGGCTATTAGGCAGCAGAGCCCCAGTGTTTTAGGAACCATGGGGGGCTGACTGTTGATGCCATCCTGGGCAGGCTTTATTGAAGGCTCTAATCACACAGCAATCCAGTTCTCACACACCAGGGAAAAGTCAGTAGCTGGCCCCATCCCCTTCCTTCCCTTAGCCCGATCACTGATTTTAATGGCCTCTCGGTATCTGGTGCAAATCGAACTCAGGGTCTTTTTATTTAGACAATCACCATGGGCCACAAAATGAGTTGCTTTCTCAGTTTACAGACAACCATGTCCCTTGAGGCCTCCGTCAGGCTCTGATTTCAGGAGGACTCTGTTCTCAGGTTAAAAGGAAGGCAACTTGCATCTTGTAGTTTAATGAATTTACATAAATCTCTGAAGTAGCATTGTCCGACCCGGCATGCCAACCAGACTTTAATGCTGTGCTCTAGATTTGTGTAAAATAGAAGTTGGGGGAAGAATATGGCTCCCCCCCGTTCCCTTTTCCCACCTCCTCTTGCCCAGCCCCTTTTATGTGGGGCAAGCAAAGTAGTTAAAAATGTCAAACTCACAGTATGCACTGTCAACAACACAATGAGGAGGCTGAAATAAAATCCTGCAACTCCACAGTGATACTTTATACTTACATAGGGCCTTTCATCAGAGCCTTCCAGTGCCTTAGAGACATTAACCCTCGCTGCACCTCCCTGGGCTGGGCCTGGAGCCTGGGCTGGTTGAGAAAGAAAATGGATGAGAGGCTAGCACCCCATTTCCAGGACAGGTCCCAGGCAAATTTTCAAAGTTGGTAAAATTTTACAACCTTCCCTTTCATCATCCCTTTCAACAAACATGTGCCATATCAGGTCCCTCTCCAGAGGTCCCTGGCATCCCGCAAGTGTGAACAACCCAATAGATAGACTACATGTGTGCTGAGAGTTCCAGCAAGCAGCCCTCCCTCCCCCAATAAGGGAAAAGCACTTGTAAGTTTGAAATTTGATATATTGTGAAATACATCAAAGCAGTCGTTATGGGAGTAATCTGAACTTTGTTGGACTTCTTCACACTTCATGGTTTGCTCTGGTTTCTGTTTGATTTATGTAGGGGGACTACTATAACATCTGCAGCGATTCAAGCCTATACATGTCTTTATCTGACGATGTGTTTAGGACCATCAATGTGGCACTGGTTTTCGCACTTTGTGCACCAACTTTGTGTCAGATGTGATCTATTGTAGGCAGTAGTTACCAGGAATTTGCTCATTGATTGCTTTTTTCCTAAGGAACCTGGACAAAGCTACAAGATCTTTATCAATGTCTGATTATAGACAAGAGAGTCATATATTTACTCCCCTTGTTATAACCAGTACTTCTTAAACTATGGTCTGGGGACCATCTGCATGAGAATGATGTGGCCACTTTCTAAACATGCAGATTCTCAGGGCCCCTAAGACTCACACTCTCAAAGCCATGCTAGTTTTTTGTGGGGAATGCTGACTCCTTCTAAAATCTAAAATCTGCTATGTGACTCCTTCTAAAATCTCTTCCGTTTCCTGTTTCTGATCATATTAACTCTTACAGGGTAGACTGGCTGGCCACAGGCCATCTCTTAAGCCCTGGTAGAACCATTAGCTCCATGAGAAAAGGTAGATATTGGAGCAAAGGAGTAGGAGTTCCTGAAGGCTCTCAGCATAAAGGGAAATCAGCAGTAAACATTTAAATGCCTGCCCTCCACGATGTTTTCCTTCCCGCAGGTGGATCTTGCCCATGTCCCAGGGTATGGAGCATTTCCTCCATGGCAGCACTGAGACTAAGCCCTGAGAATCTGATTCCTATGGTCTCTACCCCTCTCCTTGAGGCCTACACTATATCTCTTCTACAAGCTAAGCGGAGGGGTTGGGTTATGGAAAGGAGCAGACGTCATGCTAGTTTGAGATTGAAGTCTGAAGGTCTGTTGAATGTCTAGCCATATATCTGTATATAGGAATCAGAACTGAGTACTTTAATGATGGCTACATGCTTATAATTCAAATTTTCCTTATTCATGTTGGTATACCAATTATTTTCAACGGAGCTAGCCCTCCACAGGACGCTGGAAGGTCAGGCAGAGTTGAAATGGTGGATCTGCTCCTTATTATTTGTGTGATCATAGTCAAATTACTTAAGTAACATATCTCTCTGGGCCTCAGTTTCCTCAGGTGTAAAAGGGGAGTGATAATCATAGTATCTAACTCACTGGGTTATTTTAAAGGTAAATTAAATGATGCATTTAAAGCAAATGACCCATAAAAGTGCTTAATAAATGACAGTAGTTACAGTTGTTTATCAGGGTAAGAGGGGGAGAGAGAGGGAAACCAGACACTGGAGGAAGACGCTGGACCTGGTATGAGAGTCTTGGTGGGTCCCTAGTAACACACAGTCATCACCAGCAAGCACCTCCAAGGCGTTTCACACTGTGCAGATCTGATTACCATCTTTGACTTTAGGGATTTTCCAGTTTAAGATAGAAAATGCTTAAACATGAAGAATACAGCACAAGACATTTTAAAAAATGAACAGATAAATAGATAGACATATGCCTATTATAACACTGCTTGGCAGTCCTCCCTGGTGAGAGCAGGCTTCGTGGGAGAGCGGAACTTGCCTGAGTGGAGGAGTAGAAGGCACTGGAGCTGGGCCCTCAGTGGGAAGGTGGGCCAGGCGTGTCAGCAGGGGGGTGATTCTGGCAGCAGCTTTAGCCATCACCTGGTAGAGGTGGGAAAAACTCCCCCTGCCTCCCCATTCCCTTACTTATTTTTATACTAAGTTGTAAGTCAAGTTAAATACTTGTATTTAACTCTCCCCTTGGGAAAGTGTGACCCTATCACACTCAACGGGCTCCAAATGTGCTTTTAAACAGAAGCTGGCTTCAGGTTCCTATGATATGTGGATCTGAGCAAAGCAAAAACATGCAGGAGCTATGGGCTGTGCTTTCCTTTCTTTGAAATTATTATACTCAAGATATCTTCTCGCTAGGAAGTAAGGCAAGACGCCAGTATTCTCTAGAGGAATGGGGATGGTGCTTTGAAAAACCTGTCTTACCTTGGTGGAAATTTTCAATGGTTTGTTTTCTTGGATTTTCTTTTTCCTCTAAAGAAAAATACAGTATCTAATGTATGGCTTATGCCTATGGCTTTCCACTATAGAGGCCCTGTGGGCCATTTGTAGGGGAGACAGACCTGTGTTTTGTGCCATCATTCCAGGCCACTGACTTTCACAGCCCCGAGTCCCTCCTTAAGAAAGCTCTGAACACTCTTGTGGATTAGACTTTCCTAACCTCCCCGGAGAGTTCCCTAATGACCAGCCATGACAAGGGGCCTGGCAAACCTGTGCCCTTACAAGTTGTCTGACTTTCCCCCAGTGCTTGCTGGCAACCAGCGAACTGAACCAAAGTGGTTCATACTTGTCTTACCTTAAAACTCCATTTGTCAAACGGCAATTGCACAAGCAAAAGGTCAGCACTTTATGTTCTGAGCACTTAACTTTAATCATTTCTTAAGGTGGAGAGAGTCTAAGAGGTTTTCAAATAGGTCCTCAAATGTAATGGAAAGGGGATTGGTCATTCCATCAGGAATAAACACCCAGTGCCTCATTCTCCCTCTTCTTTACCCCATGCTATCCCCACGTACTGCTGCATCCTACCAGAAACTCTACAAAGAGGCAGCCAATCCATAGGTCTTTGTTGAGCACCTACTGTATGTCAGACACTTGCAGAAGGTGTCTTCTTGTGTAGGTTTCTTTTTGTGATTTAGTTTGAAAATTGTACAACCATGTACTTTTTTATTATTTTTAGTAACAAAAGTGGAACATGCTCATGGAAAAAAAAAGTCAAACCACACAGAAACATACAAAAGTGAAAGTTCCCCTACCTCACTCCCCAAGGACAACCACTGTTAATGATTTGTATAATTCGTCCCATTGCATGCTACCTTCTATACTGCAATCTGCTTTATTCATTCAACAAGCCACTGCCTACTTCCTTCCATATCAGTAGATGCAGTTACCTCAATTTTTTAAACTCTTAAGTTCTACACATATGCAGTAATTTTTATAATTTACCTTTTCTCATATTGTCAAGTTGTCTCTACTTTATTGGTTTATAAATAATGCTTCTTGAACCATCCTTGGGCTCTTTCGCAAGCATATTTGTGAGCTCTGGAAAAGTGGAATTGCTGGGTGTAAAGGTGTGTACTTATAAAATCTTTGGGTACTTCTAGTTTGCTTTCCGTAAATATTGTGTTGATTTAAATCCATTAGTGGCATACAGGATACACACTGTCTTTAAGTGATTTCTTCATGAATGTGGTATATTTTGGGATCTTGATACCCTACCAAATCCACAATCCATCACTGCTCTTTGAGAAAATAATTTTTGGATGTGCAGTGAGCATCCACTGTGGGTAAGTAGTAAGATGTGAGGTCATTGTTTTTCAAGGGCAGGGAGAGTGCTTAATCTAAATATACACCCCATCCCGTGGAATCTGCCAACATTATTCCTGCCCCCACCCGCAATGCCCTCCTCCTCCCATTCCTGTTTAAGTTTCACTATGGCAAGCGTTTTGGGTATAAACAAATAACACAACACAATGGTTGCCCTCAAAGACCTTTCAAACTGAGTTGGGGAGACAGAACACAGATGGCTAAAAAACAAGCTAAAAATACAAGTCGGTATATAAAAAGCAACAAATAAATATAAATAGTCAGCATCATTATAAGCAGTTCAGAGGAAGGAAGGAAAACAGCGGTCTGAGTTGAGCTCCGTGTTGAGCTCCGTGGCAGAGACTGGGCTGGGATTAGTGGATTTCTGTAGGTGGGGCTAGCCGTGGGTGGGAGATAACTACAAAAACTGCAAATAAGACCCAGCTGACAGAGAAAGAGAGATTCCACAAAATAGGGGAAAATAGGGGCAAAAGTGCCCACTTTTATCTTGCTAGTGGGAAGAGGGTGGGGTTTACAGTAGTCCTTGAGATTGTTGGAAACACTTGGCAGGAGTTATTTATTTGTTTTTTATTTTTTGGCATGATGGGGGTGGTGTAGGTAGGTCATTAAAGTTTTGAGAATCTGAAGACAGCTTCCAGCATTCGTCTCAGGAAAAACCCACCTGTTTGCACACACGAACAATTCTGCTGATGATTTCAGGGAGCCCTTCCTTTGACCTCGAGTTGAGAAGCTTTAGAGGCTACTGTAAAAGAGTTGCAACCTGGGACAATCCATCTAGAAAAAGTGTTAGCAGGTATATATATCACAGGAACACTTGTTAGGCAATATAAGGCATAACTAATATTCATATATTTATGAATCGTCCAACTCTGAACAGACTGGAAACAGGTGGGTAAACAACGTGGTAGGGCCCTCCTGGCATTTGAGATTTTTCCTCCACATCTTCAATTTATTCAGCACAAATTAGGGGAGGGGATTCGCTGCCTTTTTCAGGAGAAAGGATCTGACTCGAGAGAAAGCAAGCTCTTGAAAATTTGAATCAATGGGATTATTTCCGCGTGTATAACTGGAATCCACTCCAAGATGCCGATTTTTGCTGCAGAAAAGATACTCTTGCTCCCCACCCCCTCCTTTCTTTTTGACAGTCAGTTAATAAAGACTCAACAATAAGCAGCTGCCAGTGATGTCATTTGGGACTTTGTCCACGGAGCTTGTATTTACAAGCTCGGAGCAACCACGGAGCCGCAGCCGAGGGAGCGAGTCTCCGCAAACTTGCTCCGAGTTCGCTGCAGGACTTCGCTGCTGCTTTGGATGTTCAGGAAAATTGAGTGTGTTCTGTGAGCGCGGCCTTTTAATGCTTCAAAAATAAACAGAGGATAAACTCGGGAGGAAATTTTTAGCTGGAGAGAGTTGTTGCAGTTCCTGTGTCTGTCTCCAGGACTGTGATATGTGTTGACTGAAGAGCTAACTGCAAGTAAGACTGTTGGCATTTTTTTTTTTAACTCTTGTTAACAGTTTTTCTTATTTGTACAGCTTGCTTTCCTTTTAATGTGAGATGATGATGTTTACGTATTTCTACAGGCTCTCTCGGCTGCCACAAGTATGCATTTGTTCCAAGTAATTATAGTGTGCTAAAGTTGACGGGTTAGGTGCACAGGACTCCTGTCTCTGAGAACAGGCACCAGGACTGAGAGGATAACAAGATACTGAATTCCTAATCCTTATTTGCCTCTGCGGGGAGATTGGAATTTTTTTAAAAAAAATAAAAAGCAACCAACCATACAAAAAACTATTAGATTGACCTAGGAATTTTAATACAAAACTATAAAGCTAATTTTTAATTAGCTTGTGTGCAGGAGGGGGGGAAGTCACTTTTTGTCTCTGATCCTTTCTGTGGTTTATAGATTTCTAATATGTGCAGGTTGTTTACAGTGTCTCCTTCCCTCCTGCCTAAGCCCTCTTTCCACACACGCAACCCCTCCCCCCACCCCCACACACCCAAGCTCATTCATTCTTGGAGAATCTGAAAGTATAGAAAAATGTTTTGAAACTGAAACCGTTTCTATCTGGATTTTTTCCCGTTGAGTATCTGGAGAAATTTTCACCGTTCTGACTTGTCTTTTGAGTTGGGAAGCTGAATTAATGTACTACTGCAAAAGTCAAACTTGGACACTCGGCTAGGTCAGGATTCAAGGTCCCCATCCTCTCTTGCACTGTCATCCCAACTTTTTAAAACTCTCCAGATATTCTTTAGGGAATAGGAAGAGGGGGGGTCCGTATGCCGCCAGCCTGTACACAGGCTCCCTCTTAGCACAGCTGACTGCACTGGGCCACCTGGAAGTTCTGCTTAAGAGCCGTGTGAATTTCTCTCTCTGTTGCGTGCTTCACGCGGCTGGGTTTGCGCCTCAGCGTCTGCAGTTCGGCCCCTTGCAGCCAGTAGCAAATCACGGCTGATTCCTGCCATCTAGAACTGACAGCCCTGCTGCACGGATTGGCAAGAAGTGGCTGTTAGCCTCTTAACTCCTGCACGCGAACCCCGTGACTCACTCCTGGAGACCTGGCTTGCTCCTCAACTCAGCTGCTCTGTCACCAGCCCAGGAGAGCAGTCACAGCCTTCCCTGCCTTTCCCTTTTTCTCTAGTCTCAGAGAATTCTAAGAAACCAGTGCCAGAAAGGTCCTAAAATATTCCACTGTTTTCCATGGAGTTGTAAGGTGGGCAACCTCCTGTGTGTTTGTCAGCTCCAAAGTTTCCATCAGAGCACACCTTGCTTGAATATGTGTTTTGTCTTAAAGCTCAGTGCTTTTTGTGAATTTTCAATTAAAATAAGTGATTTGGTGCTTTAAAAGTTTTCAAACTATTACTCAAAGCTTATCCTTTTACTGAAGAAAATCTTAGGCACAAAAATGGGAAGAGATTTGTCCCAAGTCACCCGGCAAGACGGTGGCAGAGTTACACCCAGAAACTCAGTCTCCCGGGCTCATTCTTGCACGCCTTCCATGTTTCACTTCCTGAAGATTATGGAAGAAGTAGGACCCATTCATGGTTAATGGTCGTCTTGTAGGGGCAGGGCTGTGTGAGGTGTATGGATGAAGGTGGTCTGGCAAAGGGAGAACGTTGCTGTTTTGTCTTTGGCTCCGGGTATGTTTCTTAATGTCTCTGTTCCTTGTTATTTTTGCTAGAGAACCAAAGAGAACTCCGTGATTATTTCACAGTTGATGGCCTAAAGGCAAGGAAGGGGATTCTGGCAGTTGAAATAGTACAGAAGGCCTTTTTTGCATTGGGTACTGGTTGACAGACATAAGGTGCTCCTAGTTCTGACATTTGGTGCTTCTGCTTTCGTTCCAAGTCTCAAACTTCTTATTATTGACCACACCTTGCCTTTTTTCCTCCTCTTTGAGGCCCTTCTTGCCTCACTTCTCATTGATTCCTCCTCCCTCTTATTCTTTCATTGCAGCCTGGACCTCAGACTCTAACATTCACCTAGATTCCACTCACATCCTACATTCCTTTTCTCTCTGGAACCTTCTTTGTCCCTGACACCCCTGCCTATTGGATGCCTCTGTGGACTCTCCAGGTCAAAGTGAGGATTCCCTTCTTTAGAGTCTCATTGCGTCTTGTGTTGTCTTTTACTGGGGAGCTGCAGCTCTTTGCTGCATAGTTAAATACCTCTTCCCATTGAAAACTAATACTGCCTAGATCCACATCACCTGGTATAAAGTCATTGTTCAATGCATAATACTAAATAAATGAATGAGTGAATTGCTAATCTTAGATATTCCGTTTCCTGCATGAAACACCGAGGCCTCTGCACTTGGTTAGCAAAATGACCACATAATTGTTCTGAGTGGCTTTAAATTCTTCTTCACCGTGGTTGAAGGCCTTCAAGGGCAGACTCTGCTTGTGATGTCCTGATGTGACGTCTGCCAGCCTACCCTGGTTCATTCCTCTCCGCCCATCTGCATGAACGTATATATCTGTCCTGGAGGTTCCTGGCCTGGCAGCTCATCTGAATCTTCCATCAGTGGCATAGTGATGGAGGCCTTGGTCTCTGGAACTAAACTGCCTGGGCTGACGTCCTGCTTCCACTGCTTGCTGGCTTTATGATCTTGGTTAATTCACTTAACTTTTCTGTTTGAATTTCTCATCTTTAAAATGTGGATAATAAGAGTACCTCATGGGGGCATGGCAGAGGATTAAATGAATTCATACAGCTAAAACACTTGGCACAGTACCAGGCATATATTAAGTACTAATGAGTGTTAGCTGTTGTCATTATTTACCTTGCAGATTCCCATGTCCCACCTGAGATGTGATGAATCAGTATCCCCAAGGTGGGATTCAGACCCAGGCATAGTAGAAAAGTCTCTCAGGTGATTCTGATGGATGGCAATTACTGGCTTAGCTACCAGGAGCTGCTGCTTTTACACAAACATGATGGGCTTGCATGTTCTTTAGCCCCTCTCCACTTTCACCTCTTCTCCGTGGCTCCTCTCCATCCACCCAGTTTATCCTCCAGGCCCTTGCCAAACTTGTAATCTCATGCATAGCTCAACATCTGGCACAGAGTGGGTTCCCAATAAATGACGAAAAAAGTGTATGAAGGCATGCTTGATTGGCACTGTAACAGAAGGTTTCAAATCTTTTTCTTCTCCATAATCACTATTGAGTGATTACTATGTACCAGGTACACTTCTAAACTCTTTGCATGTGCTACCTCATGATCATTATATTTATTTTCCAAGCAAAGATACTGAGGTTCAGAAAGATGAGGTTATGTGCAAAGGTCACATGGGCGGTAGGAGGCAGAGGCAGGATTTGAACCCCGAGCCCACACTCTGACTCTTTCGTTGTACTGCTCTCTAGATGTGGAAGACCATTTTTCTCATGAGCTTTTCCCACGATAGAACTTTGATTTCTCTTGTCTTCCCCTGGCCTGATTGTACTGGCAGAGCAGCAAATCAGATGAACACTTCTAGGTGCCAACGTGTTGAGCTGGTGGTTCACGTTTTCTAGTCTTCCAGAAGTGTCTAAAGCCCATGCCCAGTGCTTTGGTATTTTTGTTTTTCTTTTAATCTCAGATATGAATGCCTTTGCAGGTCAGCCCAAGTTTATGGCTAAACATGAAGATTATTTGCATTCTTGGTATGGGTGTTGGTAGGCTGAGTTCAGCTTGGTCAAAAGTGTAATCCAGGGGATTTAGATTAAAAAAATAAAATCAGAGATAATGGTTGGCTGTCTGGTTGGTCCCTAGAAAAGTTTACCAAAGGAAGTGGTAGTATTTTGAGAGAGTGGATTTAAATAACCAGAATGGTTGCAGCTGAACACTGGCAAGTCACAGAACCAGTTAAAACAAGGTATCTTAGAGCCTTATTTTTCTCCACTTCCCTAATTCTACAAAGTTTAATGCCTTTGTAATTTGGGATTCCCAATTGTGCTTTCTTTACAGATGAAATAATAAATCTCTCTGATACATAGAACATTACCCACAACATTTACTATGCCCCAATACATACTTGTCTAATGAAGTGTGTCGTGTCGGTTTGGAAGCCTCAATTACACAAGGTACTTCCCAGTAGTTATATAAATTAATCTTGGTCTTTTTCAGGGCAAGAAACCAGATCTCTCCTCTTAGAAATAAACTTTCTGGATTAGTGAGCCCTTTGAGTAGAATTTGGATGCACTATAGGAGCCCAATGGACTGAGTTCAAGAGGAAAGTCCCAAACCCATTTTGGAACATAAGCTTGGATAATAATATGGCAGATAAATATTATGGTGTTGAAAGAGGAACTGTTCTGAAATGTGGGAACAAGTGTTCCTGTCGAGATGCGTGTCTAACAAACTGCTCCACGAAGGGTACTTGCTTCATTTGGCAAATTGAATCTGGAAACATAGAACACTGATCCAGGCCAGCTCAAAAGATATGTCCCAAATGGTTTCCGTTGTCAGTGCTAACCGGTTTTTACAAACTTTTTAAAGTAATACATGCTCATAATTTAGAAAGCCAAATAGAACTAAAATGTTTATATAAATATATATAGTTATGTATATATCTATAGTTATATATATAATATCTATAGTTATATAGAAAGTTACATAGTTATATATAAAATATAGTTATATTTAAAATATAAAATATTTATATTTTATATATAATATATATTTGTATTAATATTTAAAATATAAAATATATATATTTATACACCCAATATGTGTATATATACATTAAATGATAGTACTAAAATGTTCATATAATGTATATAAACATTGCGTATGTATATATATATTTTGCAGTCCCTAAGCCATCCTGCCTTTCCCTGTTCCCCAGTCTTGCTCCTCAAAGCCTTTTCCACTCTTTTAGCTGCTTTTTCTGTAATATTTTTAAGTAATGTTTTTATATCTATTTATAATGTCAAATTATTTATTTCTCATCATGGTAGATTACAATGTATATTTCTTTTTTGTTTGTTTTTTC